CGGACTATTCTCCAGGGGCTTTAAATCGAGCGAGGGCGAATCGAGCGCGGCCGCGCGAATTCTCCACGTCGTTGAATTTAACGACATTCCCGTGCTAGCGGGACGAGAACGGAGCAATGAGAGAATCCGCGTCGCCGACCCGTCCGAGCCGACCCTGTTTACGCGCGCTAATACGGCTGTGGTCGAAGTTGAACGGGGATCTGGGTCAGGTCTGGTGTTTGGAATCCTTGAATCGCGCGAGCGGGGAAAAAAAGAGCATTCGTTCTTACCGAATGGGAGAGTCTCCGGGACAGGCTTCTCCCAGGCCGGAGGATCCAGCCTACGCAACGCTTACCCCTGGCTGGCGCTATATGAGGTCGGCGCCGTTCCTCGGTACGGCCCGAGAAGAAGGGAGACAAGGATTCCGCGCGTACTTGCCACTCCGGCCGCTGTAGGTCACAGTCAAGTTGCGCTTTTCTTTTACGTCGACGACGGCGCTTACGTAATTTCGCGGAATATATACGCCGCCACGCGGCGAGACGGAAATTCCAGGCGGCGCGTGTTAGCTCTCGCATTCACTCGAGGCGACGATGCGCGTGTATTCGGCACACGCATGTAGTACGTGCGGGCGTGGGCGCATAACGGAATTTGCATCCTCCTTTTTACCGCGCATCCTGCAGCCGCTCTCCTCCTCATCCTCCCCCTCTCTTTTTCGTCGTCGCGCTGGAATTCCTACTCGGGATTGATGTGCATTGTCGGTAATAACGTCAGATATTTCATCAGGGCGAGCGAACGAGCGAGCGCGACGGGAGCGAGATCGGACAAAGCGAACGGCGTAAATTGAAGCAACGCGATTTGAATAGCGATGAGGCGTTAGACGCGTTACCGGCCGAGCGAGCGCAGGCCGTTGGCGCGTTTTTCGGCCTGTTTGAAAAGGCAGTCAACGGCGATGAATCGCCGCGATATATCTGTCAGTATCCGCGGTATCTCGCGCATCGATTGATTTCTCTTGATATTTTCGTGCTGTTGCGACGGGATCATCGCATAGTAATTCGCCGCATAATTCATCTGAGGCTCGCCTCAATATCCTCCACGTCGCGTGATATGCACATCGTAGGACAATGTAAACGAGTTCGGCTATCTCGCTCTTTCTCTCTCGTCAGTTTTCAGACTCGCGGAGACTCGCGTTACTCCCTGCGGCTCGCACGTTCGATAAGCGATGGAAGTGGAGCAGCAGATGATTGTCAATTTCAACGAAAACGATACGGTATCGGGGGAGGGATGGCGCGGCCCCTGCTTTCTCGCACCCATTCGCCCTGTTTCGCGGCGCCTAACGATCCGCCGGTTTCCCGGGAAAAAGAAATCGTGCACGTAAAGACCATCGTTACGTAACGATCGGCCGCGTAAGATTTCCAGCACGAAGCGCGAGATTTTATCGGCCGTCTGCTCCACATCGCGAGGAGCGTAATTCGGGACGACGAATTACCCCGTTACGACACTCGGGTTGAATATTCCACGAGGACGAGGAGCAAGCAGCAACTTTGTGCGGCTGTTTGCACTTCGCTATCGCCAAGAAAATCACCGGAACAATTCCTTTTCCCTCTCGCCTTCTTCCTCCGCGCCGATTATCCTCGCGAAGCATCTCTCTCCTGAAATCGTCCCAGGGATCGCGAAGCGTTCCACCAGGAATTCTCGCCCACGCAGCTGGTGCGTTATTCGAGCCGAGCGCAAAATCGAGATCGCGAAGGCGTCCTGGCCGAGCAGGCGCAGCGAGCAATCGAGCCGTCGAGCGTGGCGCTCGATAATAATCTCGATTCGCGCGCGCGCGCGCCGGATTCGTCGTGGCGTGTGCAGCCGGCAACATCGGTGGCGTCGGCGGCAGCACAATGTGCAGCTGCGTTCTGCACTAGATCTTGAACACTTTCAATGACAAGGCATAGACGACGGCGACGAGGCGGAGGCGACGAGGAGGAGGCGGCGGCGGCGAACGAGGAGAGGCCGAGCACGAATCGCGCTCGAGCCGAGTCGCGCGCGCACGACGGTCCTCCTACGGCTTTACCGTAGTACGATAAGACGAAGTAGGCCAGGCAAAAATTCGCCGATACCTCGCAAAAGTAGGTGGAAAAATAGAGGCGCGCGCGCGCGAGCGAGTGAGCAAACGTGATAGCGAAGTTTAACGCCGGCGGCGCTTTCTAGCCGCGAGAGCGCTTACGCAACGCTATTCGAATCGAGAAACGCTATTCTTCCCGCGCTTCGAGCGCGCTCACGATATATCGAGGGCCGTCATTTAAAACCCTTAGCTGGCCGAGCACTTGGCCGCGCGGAAGCAGAGTTGTTGGGTGTTCACGCGCGTAAATTGCCATACTTTACGCCTGCGTGTACAGTCAATGTAAACTATACAATACAGTCAATGTGTACAGTCAATGTAAACTATGTCACTCGTATAGACGATATATAGACGGGGAAAGAATTTGTGTCCGTTTAACGCTAACATATTCAACTATCATTTCATATATAAGCTATGATGTGCGATTTTGTTGAGAAAATTTTTAAGTCTTGAACTCTAACAATTCTTTTAGGATTTACTTGTTAGAGAAAGAACGTTAGAATTTTATTTGAATATTGCAATAGTCTCATAAGAAAACTATGATTGTTTTGGTGATAATATCTCCTCGCGACATTTAAAAACATAATTTTCTCAATCCAATATTTTGTGCTTCTCATATGTGAAAATTGGTGGCACTCTAGTGGCTCTCTGAAGAGGAATAGAGGTAAGAAAGTGGCACTCTGGTGACTCTCTTACCTTTCTTAGAGTTAAATCTACCAATTCAATTGTTATATCCATTGTACACAAATGAAGTAAAAATTTCATGCCACTTGTCATCCTGTTTCAACGTTACGTTTATAATTAATATTCAAAACCACAATTAATACCCACTACTGCAGCTGTCTCATAAATTAATTATCCATTTCTGCATATTTTACTGCAATTTACAATACAAAAGCCACGTAGTTTACATTACCCATAGATGGAAAGAGACTGTGCATACATCACGTAGGCAATGCGTAAACAATCCGCGTAGTAATCTGGAAATCTACGGAGTAACTCTGCGCGAGAGCGCGTATTAGATCGCAATCATCGATCGTTGCGATATTCACCGAAGTGGATTGAATAAGACAACTTTTCATCGACGCGTTAACGATTTGTAGCAATGTTCCATTTTTTCCTTAAATTTTGTTATTGCTCACGTAATAAATTCTCGCTCGATCGACTGTCGACATGAATCTCCGAATTATCTCCAATTAGGTTCTCATCGATTCGATTCCCATTGGCATGTTACATTAGCGCTTCATGTTGAAAACGCTAGTAAAATTCTCTTGAAAGTTGGTTCGCGCGTTCATTCATGTCAAAGGTTTCTCGCGACGCGTTGTTATCTTTCTCCCCCTTTTTCTCTCTTTCTCTCTTATTCAACGTACAGATAATATTCCGCTCGTGTCCGTGTTTTTACGTAAGCGAGGAGAACTGTGACATCAGTTTAAGAGTCGCGTGACGGATCTTCAGTAATAATTATTTCATAAGCCCAAGTGGGCAGCCCAGTCGCAACTACTTGCGGGCAATTTTCATAATTACAGCTGTCGACTTATTTAAAAATTCTTGCTCTTATTCCAATTTTTAATTATGATTGATGATCAAATAAACGACATAGTTAGAATCGGAGTTTTTCTTACAACCTTGGGGCGGACGCCTTAAAATTTACGGAATAACACAGATCCGTTTTACTTTCAAAAATCAATTTCGAGTGGCCGACACGAGAGCAGCGCTTGAAAGCTGTATTTTGAGTTAATTATAGGCCAATTAATCGATAAAAAATGAACAAACATCATACTCTGCTCATCAGGGGACAGACACGGCGATCAGTTCATCGAAATCCGAACTCATCGCAATTGCAAGCCCCGTCGAATTCAATTCCTGCCGAGGACGTGACGCGTACGCCTCGCCGCTGCATCGGTTTCTTCCGGTTCTCTCCGTGTCGACATTGCTGCATCGCTGTCCACCCGTTCGTCTCCTCCTCGTCGTCGTCGTCGTCGTCGTCGTCGTCGTCGTCGTCGTGGTGGTGTAAGCCGCGCGAAGTCGACGACGTATCACGACCAGCGGTGCAGCCGGTGGCGGCTAGACTCGCGCGCGCGGGTCGATGTATTCTCGGTTGTTTATTTAGGCCACGAGAGGTGAATCGTTCGCTCTCTTAACGCTGGCAAGCGGAACGCACGAACGGCGCACGCCCGCAAAAAGCGCGTGTACGACGTAGCGCGGCGCACGAGAAAGGGTTACGGACGTGTGTCGTGGATTGTCCGACGCCGCCGTCGCCATCGCCGTCGGCATATCAAAGACGCCCGGCCGAAGAAAAAGCAGCCCTTCCGTGAGATAACCGTCCGCGCACTTCACCCTATGTGTGAGCTGCCTTTTTTCTCCAATCTGCATTTTTTCTCTCTCTATTTTATCTCTGTTCTTCTTCTTCCATTCCTCCTTCTCTTTTTCTTTCATCATCATGTTTTATTTGTGTTTTATATGTGTACATCCCGCATTACACGAGCTACCTTACTCGGTAGTCTGTGCCCTTCTGCGCGCAGCCAATTTGGCGTCGATTATTCTCCCTTGCCATACTATCGAAATGTCGATGTTTCGAGAATATAAATGTTAAAATTGAAAAAAAGAAAATAAATAAAGCATTGTAACCAGTGTTGCCAGATAATTTGCTTCTACTGAGTGTCGAACCACAATGTGCTAGCCAGATCGCTGCTGGTCACAAATATTATCATGGATATGTATCTTGCGCATCAAGAATCGTCAATTGTAATGAGTCTGGTACAATTGTATCAAAACTGGACAACAGCGATTGCAATACAGAGCACTTTTCAGAAATTACGTTTCAGAGCTGTAGAACAATTTTTACCGGTCATTTTCAACCGCGACGACATGGACGTTTAATAACAAGACGGGTAGTATAGTAGTAGAGCTTGGATAAGTAGTAGAAAGCTTATATTTGTGTGTTGGCACAAAAGAGAGACATAACAATATCATGTTTATTAATATTCCACGGAATATTATAGATTTAGGAGTGTGGTTCATTTTCGATAACTAGTCTGCAGCGGTCCTCTACTAATGTATATCCTGTGGGGCATCTATTCCGAAACCTGATTATACGCTGATGAACAATTTTGTCAGAAAGAAGAGATTCCGTTGTCGCGCCTGCGATTCCCAGAAGTAAGAAGGCCATTGCCAACAACGACCACAAATTTATGAGCTTCATCTGAAAGCAATTATCGTTGGGAGGAAAATTCGACGAAATTAGTGACACCTAAAACACGTCAGGTGCGAACTGAGCGTACATCGACACGCTATCGCGATGAGTGTGAGAACGTGTGACTAATAGCGCGATATATTTGACATTTAATTGCAACGAGAAAAGCGGTGCTCGACGCGAGAGCGTATTACGTTCGGGCAAAGTGGCAGAATGAAATGAGAAAGGAAAGCCAGGAAAAGTTTCGCGAAGACCTCGCAAAGTCGCCAGTCCGATGGCGTGAGCGGAAAGTTCGATGCCATTGACAAGTTTCGCGTTTAAGTACGCGCTTAAAGCGACGAGACAACGCCGCCGAAACTATTTGCGACTGACATTTGAAATTCTGTCGCGGATCTCCGATCGCACGTCTAATTAAATTCGCGGAAGAGAAAAGACTTCAATCGCGGTGGAATACTGACAGAACGAGACAATGATTGATCCAACCAAAACTATAATTATTTTTTACCCCAAGCATAGTAAAATGGCACACGGAAAAAAAATGGCACACGGTTTGGTTGAATTAACCAAATATCTGGTCGAATATGAACGATCCAGAAATTCCGATTGAATTAACTCGAATTCTGTTTAAGTTAACAAGATTTTTGGTTGGCTTAAACAGAATTCGGGTTACTTCAATCGGAATTTCTGGATCGTTCATATTCGACCAGATATTTGGTTAATTAATTAAACCTTTTTTTCCGGAATGACGCGCGCGTGAGGTTATTATCACTAACGTTGCAGTAGAATTTCGTGAAAAAACTTTTCTCAATCATGACTTATCGTAATTATTTCGACATGCGATTATATAATTATGAGTACGACGTACATTTTGTTATCAGTGAAGCAATCGGAAGACGAAGCGTCGTGCAGCTTCCACCGATCTTCTCGCGAAATCTGAACGGCAGCGAGATCTTAGAACAGCATTTACGTGTCCTTACCGAATGTGTGAATTGAAAAAAAATAACTATATCACACGGAAAGTCCGTCACGTTACGCGAGTTGTTCCCAGAATTCTAATGAAAGCAGCGCATAATTATATCCGCAACGTGCGTCGTGTGTCATTAGCATTTTGAGTCGATATGATACTCGCAGAACTTACCGGGGCAGAGCGAAAGAGAGAGAGAGAAAGAGAGATGCACCGTGTGAATTGTGAAACAAACGGTGAACGTCGCTTCGGATGATTTTCCGCAAACTGAACGGGAAATGGACGAATGTTAAATTATATAAACCGATAAAACCGCGCCGACGAACGAGAGAAAAAACAAAAAAAGAATTGCGACCGAATAGCGCGATAACGGCGGCGAGGGGATGAGGGGGGGGGGAGGAGGTGAGGGTGATGGGTCAGCTGAGTTAACTAAAAATATTCGAACGGCGATACCGTTACACACAAAATTGCCGATACAACATGCAGGCAGCGAGCCGGAGTGAGTCACGCGGAGAGATTGTATTATTTGCGCGTCTATCGCCGCGATCGTGTAAACACGCGGGGCACACTTCGACCTCGTTAACCGCGCAATTTCGCGCAAATTTGCCGTTGCCCCTCAAATCATTTGTCGAATCACGCACGAATCGAAAGATATTATCCCGGAAACGATTTCTCTTTCGTTCGCATTAACCTAAGCGGCCGGATAATGCTGTGTGTATGTGTGTGTGTTTGTGCGTTTATTAAACGGCCAACACACGTAGAAGCAAAAACTCTTTCGCAAAATTCGCGACATTTCACGAGCGCGATCGCGCGCAAAACGGAAAGGAGAAAAGAGAGAAAGACCGATCCACGTAATAGTTGACAACGGCCCGCGTCAATAAGCTGCGTCCGAGATATATCAAGTGTCATTCAGATAAAATACGAACGCACCGCGGAACAACTCGTCAAAGATGACTTCTCGCGGAGCGACGAGAGCCGTACGCGATCGTTAATTCCTCGCGACCATCCGCTGACGTATACTCCCACCAATTAAGAAATCCCGAAGAAAGATTCCATAAATCAAGAAGACAACTTCGCGAGTTGATATCTTTCCAAACTCGACACGTCGGCTTCTCTCGGACGCTGTTCGACGTCGAGTTCGTCCACTTTTAGACGGACAATCCATTTGGCACAAAGAAGGAGAAGAAAAAGAGAATAAAAAGAAAGAAAGAAGGGAGCAAGGCAAATCCAAGTTTGGTATTTTAACACATGAGTGTGAAGATCTAGCTAAAGCTCTGTCGGCACGTTGAAACGTGTTGATTCAATGCGTTTAAACGCGTTGATTAATTTAAATCAACGCGCGTTGTTCGACAAGCACACGTGTTGACACGTTTCGAAATGCGCTGTGATTTGCGCGGCAAAAAACAGCTATAAAAGTAGCTTCTCAGGCAAAGCGCGCACTTATGCGCGCGAAAGTAACCCGCTTGGATTTTGCAGTGTGCGCGAACGTGAAAGTGAACCGACGATTGCGCGCTGGGCGACAAAGTCGAATTCGACGTGACGATAAGCTCTCAAAATAATAAAGCGCAAGGCATAGGGAATTGTTGAGGAGTGTCGAATTCGTTCCGATTTCCTCCCGCTAATCGCCGACGAGGCTCACGTTTCGCCGCGTATCGTAATAAAATATAACGCGGCGGGCTGCTCGGAGTGGAGTGCTCGCTCGCAGTCGAGTGCATTCCAATCGGCGCCGCGCGTCGAATACGGCATTCTAAGCTGCGAGGCGGTCACCGGTCGAGGGTCGCGGCAATTACGACTAATTAGCGAACGCGGCGGCGGCGGCGGCGGCGGGCGCGCGACAGATGTAAATGAGAGGTGGGTGTCCGGGAAAAGGCCGCGCTGTCGTCGAGCGCTGCGATTGCTATTGCAATCGCGCTCGCCGCATATTATTATTACCGGCGTGCTCGAATTGGCATTAACATTCACCGATGCACTCTCGTTCTCTTTCTCACTCTCGCATAGCGGCAGCAGCCGTCGCCGCCGACGTAGAGCGCGAGCCGCGCGCCGTTTTCGTAACGTGACTTTGTATCATGAACTTTTCGATGACGTTTGCGCAATCCTATCAGTCGGCCAATACAAGCACGAGCTCGTGCGCGCGAGAGAGCATGCACATGTGTGCGCCTCTCGATGACGTGTGAACGTTCTCCTCCACGAGATAACGCCTGTTGGTAGTAACGCCTGATAACGAACGTTGGGAATTTACGGACGCGCTAATCGCACTTCACTCGCTGAATATCGAAGCTATGATCTTTGTTTTTTTTTTTTCACAATCGGATAGACGAACTCGCAAAGTCTTCCTTATTTTTGCAATTCATGCAAATAGCAGTTCACGCTAGTTTCCTAGTTTGCAGAATAGATATCAGATTCTGCGAATTTCCCACGTGCAGTGACCGCAGGAAAAACGTTGGAGTTCCAAGCAGCTTTGCTCTCTTCAGTTACTGGACAAACTGTCCAATAACTGCTCGAAAATTGCATTTCCTCGTGCAGATTTCCGCCAGGGGACTAGTGTATTACATATCGATTATAAACACCAGAGGCTTTCGCAAACTCCTCGCCTGGCACTTCGCAGAATTCGACATCTGCTGAGCGACAGGGCGACGCGAGTCGAGAAAATTGAATGCAATTCGCGGCTTCTGTGTCGAGAGAGCAGGTTGAGAGAGAAAAGGGGGAGATTTGATCGTTCTCTGCCGGCGATTCCGATCGCGGCGGCCACTTTGTTGTTGCATTGCAAAACGATCGGCTCGTTTGACGGCGGCCGGCGTGCGCTATCGATTACGCAACTGGTGAAACTATCGGCTACCTGTCGGCCGGTAGATGCGCGCGCGGTAGCTGCTCCACGGGGTCGATCACCCGGCGCGCGCGGTCACGGTACCGAAACGGCGATCGGCACCGGCGAGCCGTAAATCGCCCTCGCTCGAGGCAAAGGCGGAACGATTCGACAGGCGGGAGATTAATCGCGGTACATTAAATTCGAGTTAACGTTAACGGCGGGGCACGCGCGCGAACGATCGTTTCCGATTTCGCCGTTCGCGCTGGTAGACTGCAATCTGGACTTTAATGTTAATGACGGGAGATTATAGAGTGAGTGAGCGAGCGAGCGAGCGAGAAACAGAGAGAGACAGAGAGAGACAGAGAGAGAGAGAGAGAGAGAGAGAGACACAGAGTTCAGTACAAACTCTGAGTGAAACGTAGACTCAATTACCAATGCCCGCTACTCGCACATCGTGACTGCTGATCGGGCTGCCCGAAACTACCTTTTCATTTGTTAATTCGCGATTACACAAACCTGCCGTTTATCCACCGAGCCTGTGCTTAACTTATCGCGCACTCTTCGGCACTCGCCGCCGTTTAGCGCAGCTCGTAACTCGTGACCCGTGAATACGACCCGAAAATACCTAGTTCAGAACTGGAAGGCGTCGGTGTCCGCGTGCCAGCCATGCAACCGGCCTTCCTTCCGATTCTCGAAGCTGAAGCAACGTCTTATCGTGCGTGTTCTTCGCGTGAACTGACGGATAGAGCTCGACCAGCTGCCAGCTGGTAACGGAAAAGTTACAACACTTCTTCAATGAGCCTCGCAACGTATTCGTACACCCAACGAGAAAACCTATTTCTTAATAATGATGTGTATGTGGAGAAACAAATTTTCTCGTCAGATATCTGAAGCATTCCAGAGTGATGAAAGTGTTGCGAGCTTTCCGTCGTTGGATTATCGAGAGTTTGGCGTTGAATAGCGCTCGCGCGTTCGCCGATGCCTTCCGTAAATAAAAAAAGACGTCCGGAAAAAACAAGCCGATATCGGCTGCACCTCTCGGGCGGAATTACGCGATGGGTCTCTCCGCGGGTCTCTCAGGCGACAGTAGTAGCAGCCGGCAACGGCCAGCCCATTAGAGTTATGCAACTAGTGAAACTATCCTGGCGACGCGCTGCCACTGCCATCGGCGCGGCCAGGTCGCTCACTCGTTCGCTCGTGCTCTCGAGACCCCCGCGTGTAAGTTTATTGCCAAAGTTTTCGGACACAACGACCGCGGGTAACCCTGGACACGGGGAACGGGCCAACGCGCATTCGCGTTGCCGAGCCCGCTGCTAAGTGAGCGAGCCTGTTGGTGTCGCGGAACGACGTAATCTCATCGGTCGATTGCTTGTCGACCTGTCGACCTGCCTTTCCACTCCTCTTCCCTACCAAATATACTCGTCCTCTTGATTGACGCATAGATGTGATTGACTTGTTTTTGCGCACAGGGATGCATGGACCAGATCGTCATACGCGTTAATCGCGAATTCTGCACACACAAAAATGTCATTCCGCTGCTAAGGAAAGCCATTTTTCCGTTTGCTTTTCTCCTGTGAGACTAATGATTATTTTCAGCAAAGAATGATTTCTTGATAATCTAGTTACAAAGATGGAAAAAGTAGAAGAGAAGTCTTCAACAGTCTTGTAATAGAAAAATTGATTTTCTTTACGAGAATCTTATAAAATTCTATTGAAAAGAACGCCGCCCCGACTCTATGCAGTGGGCGATCCAATTTTTTATTTTTAATTTCGTATTCTCGATTGGAATATGATCCTAACATTCTGAATCCTAAACTTATTAGGATTCCAGAATGTATTTTAAATAAATTTGATATTTGTAGGAACTTGTGAAATATTTGCAACAAGTAACATTTATTTAAATGCAACGTGTATCTTTCTGTGTGTGAAATATTTCTTCTCTTTCTCCAAAAGAAGTCTATTTACAAAATTTGAAGCAAGTCGGACGTTTTTGAAGAAAAAGCCCGGATTGGACTAAGCTTAAAATTGACTTGCAGCTGTCCTTCGACTACTACTCAATTATTACGTATAATATATCGTCTGTTGTATTGATCGTTAAGCGTTCAATAAAGTAATAATAACAATAATCATTATTCAAGTAACCGAGAAAGCATTAACGGAATTATCGAGTAGTCTACACTGATTGATTACTTCAATCGCACATGGAGCACACACACACACACACACACAGACACAATTAAATACTATCAACCAATCGCCAGGTGCGTTGGATAGATCGATCAGAATATTCGGGTCGTCGTGGCAATGAGGAGAGGAAACAGACTTTCGCGAGCAGTCCGATTAGATTGAAATTATTATGCAGTTAGAGTTCTCGCGCATTAAACTGTCCCTTTCCCCGCCGCCTGAAGCCCGAGTCGCCGAGAGTCACCGGAATTCATGCCCGACGATAATCGCGCGATCTCCGAGATCGCGTGGCC